CGGCCGCTGGCGGCGAGGACAGCGGGGAGGGTTTCCGCAGGAAGCGGAACGGGCGGCCCGCCGGGACACCGCACCCCCCGGCGATTAGCACAAACGGGAGAGGGACTGCGAGGAGAGCGCCCGGAACGCCGCAAAGGCGAGACCCATCCACGCAGAAGGTGTCCTTTTATTTTTTTCGTAACAGAGGTAAGAGATCAGGCAGCTTAGTTAACTTTATTGATCGTTACTTAGGAGGAGACAGTACAGGGTAAGTGGCAAGAGGCAGCTGTTCCTCTAGTTACCCCTACGAACACAGATGGTTTACCCATGGGGTGCCGGGGCAACAGCCATCTCCCACCCAGTCAGAGTCCTCAGGTGCTGTTCAGTCTGCCACGGGTGGTTTCTCGACCGTCTGGTTGCAGCTTCTTTGCAAGCAAGGAGGTGTTTTGTTCATACTGCACGTAGTGTGGTCTTCAGCTCTCCCCCATAACTGCAGTTTCTCTGAAGAAGTTATATTAATTAGCACAAACGCAGCCTCAGTTTCCTCCAGGGCAAGATGTTGACGCCTAAACCCTTCTACAACCGGTATTTCGAAGCACAGGTAACAGCAGAGCAGCATAGGTTAAGTTACAAATTGTTTTTGATACAAAAACGTAGAATATCCCCTATTAGCATCAAGAAGGCATCAAAGTTTCAATAGTCTCATTATAAAGTTGCACCAGCATTTTTACTGAAAACAATATAGATCTCGTGTATCTTTAGTTTTGGGTCTGTTCTTGACAAACACTTGCGTGACAGTTACTAAACCCCAGTGATGGTTTGCTGAACCTCAGTACAAATCACATGCATCACAAATACATAAATAGATCTTAATGACCCAATATCAAAAATATGTACTATACAAGAAGCTCAGGTACACCAAAAATCAATCTGTTCATGAAAATTCACACTTAATACATCAATTCTCCCTGACAGTAAACGTGGCTACTAAGAGGTGGCAAAAGCAGTAGACAGGAGCAGAACAGATTCTGCAGAATTCTTGTCTGACTTATTGCTATGTGTAGATTACATCAAGGGTAATCTGTTCTTTTTTAACCCTTGAAAGGTCAAATTGTATCAGGACTGCTGAGCACAGAGTAAAGAAAAAAACAGCAGTATTTATAAAAATAGCATCCATTTAGTTAGATAAATCCTTATAAATACAAGAAGGAAATCAGTTACTTTGTAAAAAAATTAATTCAGAGCATGTTTTCCTGAAGCACCAGCATAACATCATAATGTTAAGGATTTCAACTACAGAGTCTTCATAAACATACCTGCAAAATTCTTCCTTGTGCTGACCATAAACAAGTGTCAGAAGGTGTGCACTTGTATTTTGTACTGACGCCGGAATTTTGCAGACAGCTATAGAAGAGCTCATATTTGAATCTCAAACAGCAAGGAAAGTTTTGTGCCAGCTTTTACTTCAGTGTTTAGCTCATTTATAGATGGAAAGCACACGCTGCAGAGATGAGATCTAACCACAGCGACTTTTAGTAACACTTGTCTGAGGTTAAGAGGCAAGATAGTATGGCTTAAAGTTACACTACATATAGTAAATGCTACAACTGTGTGAAGAGGTAACAAAACCTGCCCTCTTATGCACCTGTATTAAGTGTAAACTTTCAGAACTTTAGGAAACATTACAAACTACAGTTCTTTTGTGGCAAAGTAACCAGAGAGGATTTGAGGGTTTTAGAAAAGTTTGGAAATCTATTAAAACATAACAGGTTTAGAAACTTCAACATTTTTAGTGTTTGTAGCATTATAACTTTGGTGTTCAGATCTAGCAAATCAGTGTACTGCCTGTAATCAGCCTCATCAAAACAGATGTTCTCTGATGAAAAATATTAATTCAATTTTCACTGGTAGACTCATAGGATCTGACATCCCACCATGAATCACAGGAATCAGAGCACTGTCCAATTCATTCAGATACATCTGTGGAAGAAGGTATCCTCCAGATCCGGCCAAGTACTCAACCTAGAAGGAAAACACATTAATGTTGATATTACTTTTCATATTGACAAGACAACGCAGAAGTGTAGTATCTTGGTAAAAGAATATTTCAGCTAGCATGAAGTGACAAAATAACAAATACTGGCAACTGGATGGGTTTTGAGGTCAATCACAGACAATTGGGCTTGTCATTGAGAAGCATGCAATATTCCCCTGGGTTTACAGGGCCACAAATCCTCTTCCTCTGTGTCCCAGACTGCTTCTGATGTTGAAGAGCGATCCAATTATATCCTATTATCACAGTTATTATTAATTTCAAAATATACTACGGAAAACTAGATTTTCAGGACTGTATTTCCAGCTTCTCTCAAAAAAGATAAGAACACGTTCAGAGGCAAGGAACCAAACTGTTCTGCTGTTTTGTAATCTTTTGAGGGGCATCACATGCTGGATAGCCTTGCCTTCCCCCTTCTTCCATACTCAACTGGGCAGACCTGTCCTTTTTTGCTGTACAGATTTTGGCGTAATTATCGCTTACTGCACTACATTAGGGAGCAAAACCAGCAGAAAACTACATACTTCGAGAAAAGCATCAGAAAATTGGTTCTATGATGCTCTACATTGACTTACCTTAGATGCAGATGAGTGCCAGAGAGTTACAACTAGGGAAGGACAGGTAGCTTACTGCAAGCAGCTGTTAGGGAGTTTGGGCCAGAATAAGGAAACAGGACTATTACTTTGAAGAAAAACTAGTCATTAAGACAGCTTCTTCATGAAATTTCATTCTCAGTCTGGATCTGGGGTAGGGCAAAAAACTAAAAACATACAGAAAGAGATCCAACATCTTTCCAAGAAAGAGATTTCAGTTGAAATGGAATGTCTGCAATAAGAGTTGAAAGATTACCATATCTGAGTCAATAGAAACTCTTAGGCCTATCTTATTCATCCCATTATTTTTCAAGGTTTTTAGGTGTGGGCAAAGAGCAGTACTGCAGGCAACAGCAATCTCTTTAGCAAACTGGTGAGGAACAGGACTGGATAGTTCATGGTCCTTCAGAAAATAGTACACCTGAAATTACAGAAAGGATAAGGACAGTCAGCAGCCTGGTTATATTAGAAAATAAGAAAAAGAGTAATTCAGTATACATATAATGCAGAAAGCAGCAAGCTATAATGCTTGTTTGCTGGCAAAGTATTTTAGTATTTCATCTATTCAATCAAAATACTTAAGTGACCATGGGAATATCTGGATTATATATTTATAGAGTTATCAATACTAACAGACTTAGTCTTTTTCAGAGGAGAAAAATGAAAAGTATGTAAACTTATCAAAGAGCTATGGAGAACATTCTGCCTATCAGTATGGCTATACATCACCTAACTTAGTTTCTTTAGCATTATCACTTAGTATAATCACTTTACCACTTAACTATTCTAAAAAGTATCAAAAAGGCTCAAGAACAATTTACTAACTTCGGTACACTTCATAACTTTTCCCTCTCTTTCAAAGTCTCTGCCTTGTGGTACTTTTTCATGCTGAGTTCCTTCCAATGATTTTCCATCGACTGGGCTTAAAATGCTATGGAAGATAATAGTATGGTTAATAATTAAAACAATGTTTTATGATTTAGATTGAATAACTTGTATAAAACAACGTTTAGCCATCCTTAAAGGCTATTTAAACAGCTTTACAACAAAATGTAATACAGGACTTGCATCATGAAAATACAGATGCTACAGAAAGAAATATCCTAAATAGGGAACAAACAGCACTTAATAAAAACCTAATCTTACAGGTTTAAGAAGCTATAAACCATCTTAGGTAAAGCCACTGTTTGTTCTAATTGGTCAGAGAATCCACAGACAAAGGCATACCAAGTCAAACCCGTGGCCTGAGAAAATACTTAAGGTGAGACAAGTTTTGACTTAGTGATGTATAATTAAAAGTTTGAAGCTACATAAACAAGCATTTGAATCACATCCAATAAAGATGTCTTGCATCTCATTTTGCTTTGTTGAATGCTGGCATGCCAAGTGGTGAATGGCCAAGGGCAGTACAATGCACTTCCAAGCCCCGCCCCCCACCCCCCAAGGAAGCTTAAAGGGATTAATTGCATCTCCACACAAACTGATGACTGATTTGATAGAGGACTTTCAAAGGAAACTGAGGGTTCACACACTTTTCCTGACACCTTCCTGAACACAGAAAACTATGTTGATTTTGGTGAACTACAAGCAAAATTGTTCTGTTAGTGACATCTAGAGGATTGCAAGCAGTTTACCGTTCTATCCCCTTTCAGGTTTTAGTATCAAGTACTTTCTTTCAATAAAAATACCTTAGATTAATTTCAAGAAGTTAAAGGTGGATATTTGAAAATTGGGAACAAGAATTCTCTAAGATGTTTTGCTTTGGTAATACATTTACCCTTTGTTTGTTTTTTCTTCATTTTCTACCCAGCAAATATCTACATATTCTTTTATGTCTCCTGTATCCGTTTTTCCACAAGTTATTTTAAAGTCCTTCTTGTCTCTTAACGCCTGACGTAGGCTTTCCATCATTTCTGGTGTTATTTGTACCATTAGTCCATCTAGAAAAAAAACAGTTAAAATCCCAACTTATCTACAGAAAGAGTAGCATAGCTTTTTAGTAGAATGTTAGCTTAAATTCTGGTGGGACAACCCTCTCCTACAGCTCGTTAATAAATGCACATCAAGTGGACTCCATCCCCCAACTACAGCATTAAATGTTATATGAAAGAGGAAGTAATGAAAATCTTTGTGAACAGAACTAAGACTAAAAGATCAATCTTAGACTAATCTTAGAAGTATTTTGCATTTATATGTCTATGTATGTATCTCATCAACACAACAGTGAAAATAGTTCCAGATGTAGGCAACCATAAAGGAAAGACTTGCATTGACTAAAGCAAAAAGAGTTAAAACTTGGTATGTTTTCAAACAATTAGGTGAACTAGCATGTATCTTT